TTGCAAAGATGTAAAGATGTAAATACATAAACTGTTATTTTAAAACATGTTGGATATTTCATGGTAAAGGCACAGCTATATAACACTGTATAAAATTATACAGTGACTCATCTTTTGTAGATGTCCAAATTTGTGTAAAAGCTAGATAATTTAAATACTGATATTCTGTTCTTCTTACAGCTTTCAGTTTGCAGCTATTCGTCTAAAAGCATTGGCACTCTCAGTCAAAGCAGCTGTACATATAAAAGAACAGCCCGCCTCTTTATGCAGAGATTGCTTTTACTGGAGCACAGTTCACTTACAAACATTGCAGTAGTGGTGGTACACACAATGGTGAACTTTACCTTGATGCCAGTTTTATTCTGCACAATGAGTAAGTACACTTTTCACTATTTTTTCACACAATGGTTAAATCTGTACCACAATCCAAGTGATTTAAATATTGTAGCCAACTTTACTCATAGGCATTGTTTGGTTTGTGTGGTGTTTGATATTTAGGAATATTTGCTTGTTTCAGGTTGGATCTCTTCCTCGGTCACACAGTTTTACACAGCGGAGGTTCAGCCTGGTCGAGAAGTCACACTGAAGTGCTCCAATTTCAGCAGATATCTCTCCCACATATTTTGGTTTAAAATGGCCAGCAGTCCCAATGCCAGCTGCATCTCAGCTATGTCCAGCTCGGATAGCAACGTTTCTTTCTGTGATGGATTTAAAAAAAGCAAATTTCACATGACATCCAACACCTCTATGTTATTTCTTGAGATCAAACAAGTGAATTCTTCTGACTCTGCGCTTTATTTCTGTGGGGAGAAACAGTCAGATGGAAAGACAATCATCTCAAGTGGAACATATTTAAAAGTTCAAGGTAAGTAATGCTGTTTATGGTATTTTATTGTAAAGAAAATAAAGAAAAATAGCAAAGAAAATTATATACCATTTTGAGTAACTGTAAAAACAGGCAGTAGAATTTGTAAAGTTTTCATTTTAATTGTCTATTTTGTAGACGTGGCTGATGGATTAACATATGAACAAATGATGACTGTGATCCTGGGCAATTTAACTGTTTTCCTTCTGCTGGTCATCGTTAGTCTGGCTGTTAAAATCAGGAGATTTCATACAGGTATTTATACAACTTCATTTAAATTGTCCAATCAAACATTTGCGGTAAATTACTGACCGATGTATTGTCCCTGTCGTTTAGCTCAAGATGATCCACAGAATGCACAACAGAGTGAGGTAATCTATTTTAATATTAGATTTTGACTTTAGATTAGGATTTATAAGGGGATAACAAAGACATCCAACTTGAACCCACTCAGGGTTCGAGTTGCTTTTATTTAATTATGTTAGATTTTTTTGTTGTTTTTGTTTTTAGAAACTAGAAACGGTTACTTTTCAGATTAGGTTTCATATATTCTTTCTATATTCAGTTTTTCTGTCAACAGTTTTCATTGGTGCTTCCAAAAAAGGTGAAAATTTGATTGGAAAGTGCTGAATCTAACCTTAACCTTAACCGAACCTGATACTTAGATAATGGCTGTCCTGGTGGATGTTAACATGTGATGTTTTGGGATTATTGAACTTAAACATTTTCAATTACAGAATGTGGATTCTGATGCCATGACCTATACATCAGTGAGTTTCCATCCCAAAGCTAAAATCAGAAGGCCTGAACCACCGAGGGAGCTGGAGCCTAATGTTGTGTACGCTGCTACGAGATAGACTCACAAACCAAACCAAACGTTACCTCAGAGTGGAACATGATCTGCTTGTGGGGTTTTGTACTGTTGGTGTGTGGGAAGAGTTGTAATCATTAATTATGTAAAATGTATGCAACCACTGTTAATTGGTTTATAAGACAACAATAAATTTTTATTCAAATAATCCAAAATACAATTTTGGCAAGAACCCTAAATGTTACAGAACTTTTATCTGAACTTTATAGTCTGTTGATTAAAGATTACCTTTAATGCACATTTCAAGCCGTTGTTTTTGTCCTTCTGTTCTACTACACTACACCCTCTCTTGGCGATATTGTTGTATATATTACATGAGTAACTATTAAGTCATTTTCAGTACAATACATATATTTAGACATATTTAAGTCGTTTTCTTCAGTTGGTTTATTGTAAAGAGTTTTTGTTTTTGTTCTTTTGCTTGTAGAGATTTCTATCAGAATCCAAAGCCTGATGCTTATCGTTCTTTCATTGTAGTGCGAATCACTGGTCTGGTTGCCGAAATGACCAAACTGTGAAAAGTTAAAAGAGCAAGAGCTTTCACTCACTTGTTATATTCTTTTAAATAAAGAATCTCAGATATATATTTAAGAAAATGCATTTTAAATATGAATATGATCATGGTAGTGATAAAAAAAATTATTAAGACTCATCATTTTTTTCAATTTAGGTAGAAATATGGAGATGAATAAATACATGAAATAATTTTTCTCATTCACACTTTCTAATTTCCAGAGAAACTACAGGACAAACCATGGGGTATGACAGTATAACATTAAATTAAAATATTTATTTTGAAGACATATTTTAATTGCTTCTCATTATTTTCTGACATTTTGCACAGTACAGTCTGTTTTTCTTGGACAAAAACGCATCTCTCATAGTTTTGCCTCTGTACACCACCGGAACTGAGATCAAACAATCACTGTGTGATTGAAGTGCAGACTTTCAGATTTAATTTGAGAGTTTTGAAAATCTACTTTTTTAGAGCCATTTTTCTACACTTTTCACCACGTACAGAGACTTAAATCAGACAACATCAGTCGATGACTGTCTAAAGTCTGGAACCCACAGAATCATTTCAACAAAAGTTTTCAGAGAATTAAAAAAAAACCAACGTCAGACCTCTTAACGTGAAGATACAGTATATTTCATACAGTATTTACAGTGAGCAAGTTTGTAGAAGTAACTCAAACCTCTCTAAAGCTGTATCACCATACAGCTGCCTGAGGGTTTGTAACAGGTCTCACTTACTTAGACCCACATCACCAGTTCAGCTCTACGACTTGCATCGCGTGTTCAAACTTGTGAAGAGATGTTTGCAGCAGTGTGACATTTTCTCACCCTAAAGTAAAAGCATGTGCTTCTGAAGACTCATAGCAGAAGTAGCTCCCACCATCTGCATTATGCAGTACAAAACTGACATCTGTGGAAACTGGCCTTACCCTTAGATCAGCAGTGTCAAACTCATTTTATTTCAAGTAAACCATAAATTATTACCTATAAATATTTTCCTTTCTTTTTGCCAAAAAAATGAGAGTACACAGCTGGAGATGACTTAACTTGTCTCGTCAGTGAAACTGTAATTATCAAACGGCTATGCTGACAGAAAATACATTAAGAATGCTCCTGTATTTGTACTTGGGTGGAATTAAAAAGGTGGTCAACTACTCATACAGAGATGCATTTGTAATAACTTACAACATAATGGTTCCTGGTGCAATAAACACACAAAGACAAAGAAATGATGCCGCGTTCACCACAATTTCCACACATTATAAAGTCATGCAGTGGGCTGGAAGTTGTATGTTTGAGACCCCTGATCTTAAGGCTATTGAAACCACAGACTATATATAAAGGATGGTTGCACTCACCATGATGTTACCCACTGGTTTCTGAACTTTATATTTTAAAGCCTCAGAGTTTTTTATTTTTGCTACTACCATGCTGGTTTTTAAAGCCTTAATTGACAATATGTAGACAAGCACTGAGTCATAATTGGGGGTGGATTCCCATTAATTTCCTACGGCGGACACCACAGATGTAACAAGGTTGATTTAAACACTCAAAATTCAATGAAAGAGGTCATCATCAAGTGCATAGTGTGGAGAAAGTCATAAGGCCTTCATGCAATCAGATGTAAAAAACAATATTTATGTGTGTTTCAAGTCAGTCAGATTTGACCCAAACACGACAGGAATTTTTTAAATTACATCCATCCATTCGCTTCCGCTTATCCTTTCCAGGGTTGTGGGGGCGCTGGAGCCTGTCCCAGCTGTCATAGGGCAAGAGGGGGGGGTACACCCTGACAGGGCACCAGTCTGTCGCAGGGCTAACACACAGGGACAGACAACCATTCACACTCAAATTCACTCCCGTATTCACACCTATGGGCAGTTTAGATTGATCAATTAACCTATGCCCACTAACTGCATGTCTTTGGACTGTGGGAGGAAGCCGGAGTATTAACAGCACCTTCTAGTGGCCATAGTTATTATACAACACAGGAAGAAATCAGTCATCATGATAAAGGTTCAAGAAGGCTCTACACATTTCTTAAGCCTTTTACAAATATGTATATATATATATTCATATATATCTTCAGCTCCAACATACTGAAAAAAATGTCATTTGTACATTATGTGGGTATAAGTGTAGTATCAGTGTCTTTTCCTGGTAGCGTTTTTGTGGTCGGTTGAGAAAAACACCCTCCTCTTTTTATTGTAAGACCCCCCTTTCTGGGTCTCACTTCAATTCCAGACATTGCAAAGCTTCAGTCGTGTGTGCAGTGATGAACTTTACCTTGATAGCAGCTTTGTCTCTTAAGACCGTCTCTGCAGCCTCCAGCCTACATTTGACGTCATATTTCTGTTAACCTAGCTTTAATTAAGACTTCATTCAATTAATTGATTAATTTTAATTGCATGGCATTTTCTTGTTTAAGAACACATTTGATTTGTTTCATCCTGGATCTCCATCAGCGGGTCTCAGACTGTGGAGGTCCATCCAGAAGAAATCATGCTGCAGCGCTCCATCGTCCACTTCTTAACAATCTGGTTCACTCATCCAGCTGGATCAGAGTCATGTTTGCAGCTGATGAAAGTGCTTCATGCTGCGAAGGATTTCAGAGTGGATCATCGGAAATGACTTTCAGCATCTCAACCATCTTCTTCCTAACCAAACATGTGGATGTATTTGGCTCTGGAATGTATTTCTATGGATTTAATGCAGATGTATATCCAGGTTTTAGAATGATACACTATTATTAAAGGTAAGAAAAATTCAAAGTTTCTTTTCATCAGATTTCTTTGTTTTAAATGTTAAAATGCACAAAAAAAATATTTATCCAGATGTCAAAACAAAGATGACGTGAAAATTATTTTCATTTTATCAAACAGCAACAGTGAATTTGATGATGTGGTCAACTAGCAAAGAAAAGAGTGACCAACAGAGAGACCTGAATTCGAACCAATGAAATGATCCTGTCATAGAATAATTTGATGGCAAAGCTGATTCTGGCTCCTCTGACTGTTTTCCTTGTAAATATCATCAGTGGTATGGCTGTTAAAGTCAAGAAACTCCATACGGGCACCAAGAGGATTTATCTGATCATTTTTTGCAAAGTGTGAAAGAGGTTTTAGCATAATGATTTACACTGATGCCATGTTGTTCTGTCTCTGTAATGTAGCTGCTGCTGCTGAAGGATAGAAACTACATAAATTTTTATCTTCTTTTTTGTTCACTGTTTATGCTATTTTTTCATTAATTAATTAAGACACTGCGAGTTGTTATTGTGTTGACCGCGGCCCTGCAGAGGGAGGCGACGAAAGTTGGATTAAGAATCAGCGCCAAAAAAACCAAGGTACTCCGAGTTGGCTATGCATGTGCCCGCATTCCTGTCATGATCAACCAACAACGTGCTGAAGAGGTGGAAAAATTTACATATCTTGGCAGCATCATCTCGAATGACGGGGTCTCTGATCAGGATGTCGACGCCAGAGTAGGGAAGCAGTTGGTGTCCTGCGACGTCTCCAACCTCCAACTCGACCTCCCTGAATGTTAGGGTCAGGATCAGACTACTGAACTCTATCGTCTTCCCTACTGCACTTTACGCTAGTGAAACCTGGCGCTCAACAAGTGCAATTATTCAACACCTGAACGTGCTTCAACAACGTGGCCTGCGGCGAATCCTGAGAATTTCCTACCGGGACCGAATAACAAATGAGGAGGTCCTACGAAGAGCAGGCATCCGCCCATTAGCCGATGTTGTTGCAGAAAGGCGCTTCCGCTTTGCGGGCCATATTTTACGCCTACCCCCTCATCGCCCAGCTAAGATTGCCATGACATGGCGTCCACGCACTGGCAAGCGAAAGCAAGGCTGACCAAAGACCACATGGCGTTGAACATTCATGGACGATCTGAGAACTGTCGACATTGCCTGGGACGAAGCTGAAGCAGTCGCTGCTGACCGACATCGATGGAGATCACTAGCTGCCCGATGCGCCGCCCGGCGTAGGAGGAACTAAGTGCTAAGTGCTAAGTGAGTTGTTACTGTTCTTTGAAGAATCTGGACTCACCTGAAGCAGCTGGAATAAGAAACAGAAGTCGGCATCAGAGAAAGAAGTGGATACTTGTTTATGTAACTCAGGGTCAAATTGTTGTTTTATATTGTTTGTGTGTGACTGATTAGTCAGAGTAAAGAAAATGTTTCATTAAATATTTTCTCTCTTGTCTGGCTTTTCACTGAATTAGATCCAATTTTTGTTTATTGGAGGAGGCTGGAACAATCACAACAGTCTATCCTGATTCTCTTATAATGAGAGTTAGATGAAGTTCTGGACGTGGATCTGAGCTCAACCACCTTAAGGCCACAGCTGCCATAGGGACAGAAGCAGGGTACACCCTGAAAAGGTTGCAAGTCCATCACATAACCAGACAATCATCATTCCTCCGTGCTGTGAAAAAGTATTTTCTCCAGGCCATCGC